GCCTTCCACATTTCTATATCCTGAACCCACCTCCACACTACACAAACCACAGCCATTTACCAGGCGTCTCTTCTCCTGCTTCTTGCTCACCAGAGAGCAATTGCTGAGACTGGCTAGACACCTCTGGAATGGAGAACAGTTCCTGGCTGCCTGCCCCACCGGGCGACCCTGCTGGGAATTCCACATCGTCATCTAACTCCATCTCTTCATCAATAACTTCATCCTCCAGGTTAGGTCCTCTTTCTGCCGCCTCCAGGCCTGCCGAAGTATGCACGGGGCTCGTGGAGGTGGGGTCACCACTGAGGATAGCATCCAGCTCCTTATAGAACCTGCAGGTCTTAGGTGAAGCAGCGGAGCGATGGTTTGCTCCCTCGCCTTATGGTACGCCTGCCTCAGCTCCTTTATCTTCGCTCTGCACTGCAGCATGTCCCAATCATAGCCCTTTTTGCACAAGCCTTGAGAAATGTGCCCGTAGGTATCCCAATTCCTATGGCTCAAGCACAGCTGTGACTGCACAGCCTCCTCTCCCCATATACTGATCAGATTCAACAGCTCTGCAGTGGTCCAAGCAGGATAGCGTTTGCTTCGATAACCCATCATGGTCACTTAGGAAGATGTGATGAGACCTCTCCACACTGATCCAGCAGGAAATGGAATTTCAAAAATTCCCAAGGCTTCTAAGGGGGAAGGGTGGATGGTTGTTTACCTGGCTGCAGGGCAGTAGATTTCAAACTGCTGACCAGAGTGGTCACAATAGGCATTGTGGGACACCTCCTGAAGGCCAATTAAAGTTATGAAATCAAGCGTGGTGTCTACACTGGCACTCTGTCAAGAAAAATTTAGAGGAAAAAGATATATGTCTCCCGTCGGGGTGGTTGTATTTTGTTGCCAAAGCTGGGCATTTTTCCTGACAAAAGTCACATCGCAGTGTGTACGCATTCATTGTTTTGTCGACAAAAGGCAGTTTTTGTTGACAAAACTTGGTAGTGTAGATAAGGCCTATGATTCCAGCTAAGATCATCCAGGCACACACTTGAAAGACAATAGAGAAAGCTGTTAGCTTTGAGGATCCTACTTTCTGTCTCCAGTAAATGGCAAACTTTGTTTTGCCAAGGCTGTGAATTACTGGAGCAAAGGGCTATACATTGGTGCTGGGGGTGCGGCAGCTTGAAGTGGTTTCCATTATATATGGGTTACAGTTTGGTTCAATGACAGGTTTCAAAGGAGCAGCCGTGTTAGTCTGTATTCGCAAAAAGAAAAGGAGTACTTGTGGCACCTTAGAGACTAACCAATTTGTTTGAGCATGAGCTTTCGTGAGCTACAGATCACTTCATCGGATGCATTCAATGGTTCAATGGCTCTCAGCATCCTCACTACACAAATTGTTCCAGCAGCCTAGGGCTATAATCGGTTAAACATGACTTGATTTCTGTTGAAGGAATCAATTACCAGCAGCTGATCAGGAAGTTGTTAGTGAGCTCTGACAGGGAGACAGGTTGATACAGTGAGAGGTCCTGAGGACGAATCTATAAGAAGTTAGAGTCACCTGGTAAGCCAGACTTATGTACAGTCTAAACTGTTCATTAGAACATTAGCATTTCAGAGAAAACAATACTTTGATTTAAGAAGGCTGTCTTGTCACTGGTTACCACTGTCATTGCTCCCGGAGGGAACAGAATTGTAGATCTGGATGCAAATCAGATCTGCTGAAGTAATCATGGTTGATGCACAGGAACTACAACAAGGACATAGTCTGAGAATGGGAATCACATGATAGCCTGACCTAGAGGGGATGAGCTCGGTGAGACCAAGAGGAGTCCCAGATGTGGTTAACTCTGTAACCCTGACCCCATTTTTTTGACAGATTAGAGGAACTGACAAATCTCCATTAAATAAACAAAATGGGACTAGACAAACACTGATGGCGCTTTATTTGGCACATCTTTAGCTTTACTAAGTACTAAATAACTAAATTAAAATGTGTTAAGCAAACACAAGCTTTTAGCTTTTCAGCTCACGGGGCTACAAGTAGGAAGAGTATAGCCAAGAAGCAAATGCTTTATTCCCTTACTCACTCTTCCGATGTACATCAGATCAATCAAGGATTTTATTATTTTTATTGGTTTCAGAGTATTTTTATTGCAGTTTATATGCAGAGAGAAATATTCCCTTGATTAATTTACCAAAGTAATTCATTCACAAAAAATGTAATTTAAGGAAAATATTGGAGGAGTTCACTCAGTCTCATGTGGATCTAATCACCTCAGAAGGAAAAAAGCTTGACAACCTCTTTCAAATAACTTATTTAGATTTTTAGATATGCAAAGCATTTCATCTGGAAGAAATCCCAGAAGGATTTTTCATGACTTATAACAGAACCTGTCACAGTATGTAAAGGGCTGACTTGATTTCCAGCAAGCAAGGAGTTAATTCCTTGTTCAGACCTGACACAGAATAGAATGAAGTAGCAGGGCTAGAGTTTGAAGGCCCAATCAGACACTGAGTAAATGATATAAAAATACACCTATGAGAGGCAGAATGCTTTTGTGAAGGCAGAGTTCTACGCTCACTGGTCACAGGACTGAGTTGTAACTAAAATGGGTTGTTTCTGTATATTTTCCTGTTACGTTAAGCTATTTTGGTCTTTTGCTTTACACACTATCCTCAGGAGTGAAAAAAACTTGGGGAAGAATAACTTTTTTGCAAATCTTTTCAAACAAATTCACTGCACTGGGTTACAGTGCCCTTACTGACTGAAACTTATTACTATAGCCTTCCACAGGATTTTCTATGCGGACATGTAGCAAAAGGGAAAAACACAGGACCCTGTAGTTTGTAAGAACTTCTCTTTTCTTAATATAGATTGCAGACTATAAACTCACAAAGGTTTTATCAAGAAGTTTAGAACCTTCATTTTCTGCTTAAGCTTCTACTTATAGGACAATTTTTATAATAGGGTACCATGGATGTGTTAACACAAGACATATCTTTAAGAATAGGATATAGTTTTTATAGTTTTTAAAGATCTAGTGAAGATTGTATCTATGCTTTTGACATCTGGAAAACTCTTTGACTAAAATGGCAATACTGATTTAAGATCATAGGGACAATGGCCTTTAATAAGCATTTTATAAATTAGATATAAAGGGAGTCTGAGATACCCTCTTCCTCAGTAGCAGTGAATAGACTTGTACTGAAATTTTTAAAAGTTTGGTTATTAAAATCCCCCTCCCCTCTGAAATTAATTTTGAGGCTGACTCCTAGTGAGAAATGTGATTTTAAAGAATGCTATTTGATTTAAAAAATGTATTCTCCTTTGCAGGCAAAGGCAGGATCTGCCCAGCAATAGAGACTAGTTGTCTAAAATGAAAACAGAGAAATTTAGACAGCCATTTTAAACATGCAAGACAAGACTTTGATCTAATGACTGACCATATGGGACAATGCTGTTAACCTTGGAAAAATCTAACAGTTTTGGAAAAAAAGAAAATGAATAACTTACTTTCAATAACTTTTCTGATCTTTACTGACACACTTGAAATTTAAAAAGTCCACATTGATTCTGGTTGTACTTTCCCTGTTAAAAGTTGTCCTATCTCCCTCTCTACATCCAGATGGAAAATAAACAAGGTTTTTGGGTTTTTTTTTACATTTTTTGACAGTTTTCTTTGACACTTCCCAAGTGTGTCTTTTCTCTCTCTGGATGTCTAATAGTATATAAAAGTTCTTGCTGCATGTGAGCGCATGTAGGTATTAGTAGGGCTTTGTCTTGATTGTCTAGTGTCAATCGCTCTATGATACTTTTATGGGGGGCAAGCTGAGTGGAATTTCAGTGCTGTTAAACACCTATGTCTATGTTTAGGTATATATACGTATTATATATTAGCCAGCATGTAATTATTTTTATAAAATACAAAAAATGTATCTATGTATGCATATTTATATTTATTTCTGTAAAGAATTTCCTCCCTTTTTTCACTGTGGCAGAGATATTTGATCCCATAGTATGACAGGTTCTTGCTTAAAGGAAAGTGACTCTGATTAGCTGTAGCTCTTTTTATTAAAGAAGGAGCTCTCTTTCTAGGGCCCAATCCTGCCCTAACACTGGTGTATTTCATATAATTTAAAACTACCTTCTTACATTTCTACACTCAAGGAGCATGTGAATCTTTTGGCTTTCAGGATTGGCATTCAAAGGGTATTCATTCTTTTGCTGCATGTACTGTTTGTCCAGAACTAACCAGTTATTTCTGTAGTCAATATGGGTTTATTGTGCATTACAACAAAGATTAAATCTTTACAGAATGTACGCATTAGAGTAGAGAATAACCAGAAGTCTTTACTGCACCATTAGAACACAAAGCCTATGGTCAAAGGTGTTTGTGCTTATGGCCCAACCAAAGAGATCTAAGGTATAGAGTTGTTGTACTGTAACAGGCTGAGTTTACAGTTAAGTGTTTTATTTGTATTCTGAGATGATGGGAACTTATTTTTCGAAACACTATACTGAATACATTAGATATTTATACACAAAAAAAGAAAAGTCCCAGGGAGGCTACACGTAGGATTGACGCGGATCCTACCTATTAACATGCCCTTCGCCCTCAGTTTACTGTGAGTGCTGAGGCTTAAATATATGACCAAGCTGCTGGCTGGTCGCTTCTCCATGCGGCGCATTAGGCGGGCTCCCGGGACACTTTCCCCCGTTCTCTAGCGTATGAAGCCAATTCCCGTTAATTTTTGTGCCCCTCTCCCTGACACACGGCGCCACCCCGCAGAGTTTCTGGCCCGCCCTTGGCATCAGCTGAAAGGGAGGGAGGTCCTGGAACCGGGTGAGACTCGGGGGCTCTGAGCCCCCCAGCCGCGAAGCTCGAGCGAGCGGCGGGCAGTGCTTGCCTGAGCCGCCCGCCACTGGGATCCGGGAGGAGGGGGGCCAGGGCAGAGGCGTGGCTGGAGGAGGAGCAGGTTGGGGGTGGCGGTGGCTGTGCGCTCCCGGCTCTCTCCCTCCCGCACTCGGCTGCTGCGGAGCTGTCTGGGCGCGCGGGAGGCTGGTGGCCGCGCGGGGAGCGAGGAGCGCGGCGCCGAGGAAGGCGCAGCGGCAGCATGAAAGGCTCTTACCTGGCCTGGGAGCTTGCGGGCGCTGTGCTGCTGCTGAGCTTTCCAACAGGTGGGACTGCGCCGCGTGGTCTAGCCGCTGCCGGGAGGGGGGTCCGCGCTACAACGGCCCGCGTCGTGTGCAGGGGGAGCCGGTGCGCCGCTCCCAGAAGCGGGGAGGGAAGGGGCAGCACTCAGCAGCTGCGCCCGCTGGCACTTGGGCTGCGCAGTCGCCGGTGAGGGGCTAGCAAAGCTCTTGCACCCCAGCTTCCAGAGCAGCGCTGGGACAGGCAGGGTGGGTGGCAGCGCAGGGGTGCGTGGAGGCGTTTGTGGAGAATTGCAAACAGTTATTTCTGGTCATCTGCCTAGGAGCGCGGGGACAATTTGTGTGTGGGGGGAGGAGTGGGGTACTGAGAGCCATTGACCAAACTGTAAACCCGGCACCCCTAGTTCAGCACCTATGCCTCTGCCGGGGAAGGAAGGTGCGCCTGGCTTTCTTACCCTCACTCCATTGATAAAGATCGACCAGGTCGCCGCACCAGCTGTGTTTATTGTGAAAACTCTGGCGCTGCAGCGGTTCACGCAGAGGACAGGTTCCTCGCGTTGCTTAGCGGTCCCTCCTGCTACAGGGGGCCGGGTTGCATTTGTTGCGTTGCATTGACCACTGGCCTGAGTTTCAGTTGCACGAACTTTGGCAAGTCCTTGCAGAGCGTGTCCTGCCAATGAATAGCTTGAGCGCGATTTTTGGAGGCGCGTGAGCTCTCCTTGCTGCCCTCCAATGCCAAGTCTCGTCATGCTGCTGTAGTGCTTCCTGAAGCCAGGCTTGCACTGGTTTTGGAGGGGGAAGCGCGGTAGCCTGATAGCTCCTGCAGTGTCCGAATGGGCTACTGTGAGGGAAGCAGAAACAATCACTGCTCCCGAGCCAATGGCAGCTGCATTTTTTGGTAATAGAGTATTTCCTATTCAGGCGTGCGAGTCTGGCTACCACATCCAGGAAAGGAGTGTTAGTACTTAATGCACCTTTTTTGTTTCTCAGAGAACTATTATCTGTCGGTGGGGGAGGGGTCTTGCATCTGCCCGGGTTGGGTTGTTTTGGCAGTAAACTATCTCGTAATCAGTACAAAGTGTCCCTGTGGTCAGATGGCTGTTAAACAGTAGAAATGGTAACGAGAAATACTTTCAAGAGGAGGAGTCCGGCTTCCAGCAGCAGAGGCGAAGGTGTAAGTGAAATGTAGTCGTCAGGGATGTCACAGGTTTCATTCTTTCTACACAGATGATTTTGAGGGCACTGTTACATGACTGTATTTAGTAGAGCATCTCCTAGTCAACCTATTTATGCATTTTGTCAGTCTTGTGAGAGACAAACTTTTAATCACCTGTTCTTTCTAAGTTAGAATACCTGTCAAGCCCTCTTTTAAAGGAGGCTTTCTAGTTCTTGCACTGGGCTTGTGGATTTTTAAGTCATTTCACTCATGCTGTGCCTAGTGTACTGGAGAACTGAGTTGATGGTACCGATGGGACAGCAAATATGTATGCTCCTCACTCTGAAACCTGTCATGCCATTGTCATTCTAATTTATTGCCCTCTTTTGTTTAGACAGGTCACTCAGACTTAGGCATTTAGCAATTCCTATCACCTTTATGCCGAGTTTTAGCTCAAATCTGCAGGTAGTCCTGCTGAAATAAATGGGGCAACTTGCAGTAGAAAGAATGTACTCAACATGAAAAAGGTGGCAGAATCAGTCTCTGTCTACGAGCATATCTGTGAAACCTGAGGAGTTGCCATCATCCAGATTTAGATTGTATAGAAGGTCAGGCAATGTCAAACCCAACTCAAGCTACTGATGACAATCTGTCAGTGTAGTAACTGTGATATATCAGGCTGACAAATTCAGGATTTCCCCATCAAAATGTTTAATAAAAGAGGTGTAGGGGAAAAGCCATCAGATGTTCTCAGTGGCATAAATTTACCCCTTGGATAACTCTAATGATTTAAAGGAGTTGCACCAGGGATGAATTCAGCTCACTGTTTGAATCAAAATTGGAAGCCTGACCACTTAAAAAAATTGATTCCTCCCTCCCTTATCTTATTTGAAGCTAAGGGTGGAGAGAAGCAGTGCATGGTGACAGAAAACAAAAGGTGGTTGAACTTTTCTCTCCTAATTCTTGAAAGTGGGGTCTTGCAGATAACCCTCTCTGGCCCAATGATTCTTTAATGTATCCACAGTGGAACAGCTGAGAGAGACTCTGTAGCCTGGTGGTTAGCACACTGGGAGTGGGTGTCCCCTTCCTGCATTGAATTTTGTAATTATTTAGCCACAGTGGAACAACTTCAACAGGATGAGTGAGGGAGCCCCACATCAGAGTCTCCTATAGCTCAGTGGTTAGGGCACTCACTTGAAATAGCAGATCCCTTCCCATGGGGAATGTGAAACAGGTTTTCCACATCCCAGGCGAGTACCCTAACCACTGGGCTAAAAGTTATTATGCGGGAGGTTGTCCTCCTGCCCTTCTCCCCCCTGGCTTCTTGCAAAAATGGCATAGGGGTTGCAGCTGAGGGCTTGTCTACATTTACAGTGCTGCAGCTGCACCGGTGCAGCTGTGTTACTTAGTGAAGCTTCTCCCATTGACACAGGGGTGGTAGCTATGTCAACAGGAGAAGCCACACCCCTGAGCTACATAGTTATATCCACACAAATTTGTAGTGTAGACCAAGCCTGAGAATTCCAAGTGGAGGGAGGTGCCTCCCTGCAGCCCAGACAGGTACCTGTCTCAAGAAGGGTGGGGCTTAGCATAAACCATTGGCTTGGTATCTCCCATTGGCTAGTTTAGGCAAGGCATCACCTAGCATGCTGGCTTTTGTGCTAAACTCAGGCTTTGAGTCCCAGTGATTTTCTAGGCACTTAAAAGTTAGGTGCGATGAAGCTGAGCATGGCCTCGCCTAAGTTTGTAGCCCACATTTCTTTACATTTATGAAATACCAGTTCAGTGCTCTAGTTTTGTACAGAAATTACATGGGTCGAAAGGGCCACCAAACCAACCAACTAACAACCCCTCCCACAAGAGGTTACTGTCCAAACTTCTTGTAAGCATATAAAAGATAATTACATTTAACTTCCCCCAATGTCTACTAACCTCCAGATACCATTTCTGACCCCAGCCCCTTAAGTAGTCATCTGGTTGTCCCTGACCTTCAAATCAGCCCTCCCTTTCCTCAGGAAAAGCCTGGGAAAACAGGTCAGCCTTGCAACATGTCCTGAAGGTCACCAAATCCAGGCTCTTGTGTCAAGGAGTAGAAGGTGCAGGGGAGATTATTTCTTTCTCTTGATTACTTACTTGATTAGATTCAGACACATTTTCTGGAGTTATTTGCTTTGAATGGCACCGTAGATGAATTTACTAATATTGATGAGAAGTGAATAGTGAATAAGAATTAGTGCATTAGAATGGGATGAGAAGTGAATAGTATGTAAGACTCACTATAGTAAAAATGTTTGTCTTTGGGTAAGTGTCTGTTTATGTGTGTGTGTGGGGGGGTGTATGTGTCTGTCTGTGTTTTACATCACAATTAATTTCTTTATCGGATAGTCAAGAGTTTCTCTCCTCCCCTGCCTCTCCCTGACTTTTGCAAAAAGAGAATGAATTGGTACCAAACTAAACCTTCAGTCCCCTCGCTTCGCTGCTGGTATTTTGTGCCCTTTCCCTGTCCTTGTGTTTTCTGCATCTCAGTTTATTGCCATCTTCTCCCCTTTTACTTTTTTTTTTTAGTTCATCCACTCTTTTTGTGGGATGTTCTTTTAGAATCTTCAGGTTAGATTCCCAGAGGGGACTTGGACTCAACATTGCAACAGCTTCTGTGAGGTGCCCAGTAGAATTCACAGTCCTGAGTTAGGCAACCAGGCATCCTGTACAATGCATGAGACAGAGTTAAGCATCTAAGAATGGGACCCACAAAAGTCAGCAAGCTTAACAGGGAGCCACCTAGACTAGCCAATAAGAAATGCCAAGGAGAGAAGGGGTTCATAAGCCCTATCCCTCAGATGCCTTATGTCTTGGCAGGTGGGAGGTGCCTCCCTCTGCTCAGGATTCACAGCTATGGACACTCACCTGAAATTAGGCACCTAAACTTTCTCTTTAAAAATATGGAGGAGGTGGTGGCACCTTGCCTTATAACTTTTAGCCCCAGAATGTGGAAGACCCAGGCTCAATTCCCCCCTCTGCCTGCTGTGGAGTAGAGATGTGAACTTGCGTCTTCTGCCTCCCAAGAGAGTGCCCTAACCACAGAGCTGTGGAAAAGAGTGAGAATGAGTCTATAGCCCAGTGGTTATGGCAATCACCATGTGAGAGACCCAGGTTCCAGGCCTCCTTCTGTGCATATTTAATTATTTATATGCAGCGGAACAGTTTTAATGGGAGAGTATGAGAGAGACCATTCCCAGAATACCCCACAGCCCAGTGGTGAGGGTCCTCTCCTGGGAGGTGATGACTCCAATTCTAGTCCTTTCTCCACATCAGGTTGCGGGGCGGTGGGGGGAATTGAACCAGGTCTTCCACATCTGGGATGTGTGCCCTGACCACTGGGCTAAAAGTTATAAACAGGTCTGGAACTATCACTTCCTCCACTGTTTTGTCACTGTGTGAGGCCTGATTATGTAAACGGCTTCTGACAGTGTCCACTGGTTTTCCGCACAGGTAAGGTGGGCAGGGCCAGCTTCAGGATTGCACTGACGCTTAGGCATGAGTTAGGCACCCCCCTAAGGTGACTGTGCAGACGGTCACTGGCAGATTTTTGTAGGTGCCTGGGGGACTTTACCAGAGGAAATTTAGGCACCTAGGGACTTTAGATGTCTGCAGCCATGAGCAGGGTGTTTGAGGATCTACATTTTGGCATCTAAAGTGGCAGTTAGGTGCCAAAAATCCCTTTGTGGATCTAGCCCTTTTTTGTTATTCCTCCCAGGCTTCCTGAAAATCCTCTCATCCCATTCACTCTGCTGCTATGATTGGGCATGGTTCCTTTCAGAGCCCATCAACACTCTTATTCATACAACTAAACAGTAATATAAGGTGTGCCCTC